CTAAACCTCGTTAATAGTGCTAGTAAGAAACTAAATTTGCCTAAATTAGCGTTTTGCTATGAAAATTTCCTCTTAGAGCCCTATATTATTAATAATTTACACTAAATATAGGATATTTTGTCCCAATGTGAAATTTTAGCAAAGTATTAAAAGTATTATCATAATACTCAAACATATTTTTGTAATTCTGTTAAGTCACTATTAACACGATTAATACCATATATTTAGAGACTTGTTAACGCCACCCCCATTTTTGTTAATGGCACCCGCAAATATCAAAAAGTGCTCCGGGCGAGGTATTTCTATTAAGTAAATCCTTATTTTGACCTTAATAAAAGTTGTTCATCAGGCCTTTCCGGTTCTAATGGTAGTAAAATTATTAAAATTGGATTAGTAGTTATATATTCGAAGTTAATTAACTTTTATTTACTTTAAAAAAAAGACTACTAGCCCAATTTTAATTATTTTACTACCATTAGAACCGGAAATGCCCAATGAACAACTCAAATCCTCTCAATGAGACAATCCGAATGGTGCCAAAATCTTCTATATTGATCCACTACATAACGAGATATTGCGATTTAATAAAACTTATTTTAATTGTCATTTTGTACAGATTTGAATATCACTTTGTACGAATTTAAATGACATTTTGTACGAAAGTGAATGTCACTTTGTACGAAATTGAATGTTGCTTTGTACAAAATTAAATGTCCTTTTGTACGAAATTGATTTCAAAAGGGATAAATATAATCGTAATAATTTGCGGGAGGGGGGAAATTTTACTATTTACAAAAAATGAACCTTCTCTAAATATTAAAATATATTTATAAAAACTATATATTATAATAAAAATTTTTATTCGATTAATAAAAACCATATCAATATTATTTTTTTTTATTTAAAATTAAATTATCACCAAGACTTTCCAACCTAAATATTTAATAAAAAGCAAAGATTAACTCAACAATACAAAATAAAAAAAAAAACTAAATATTACTTACCACTTTTTGTATACATTTTTTAAATGCCTCAAATTCTTTAGCACATAAATCTTTATTTACATTATTAAGATTGTTCATTATACATTTAGCATATATTGTAGCCTAATTTTTTTATTATCGAGTTAATTAAATTCAAAATTTTATTATTTAAACCTAATAATTACTAAGAATAAACATTTACTTGCACAGAACATTGCGCAACCCCCCTGGCAAGTACCATAACATTTTTATTTTCTTTCGTGCCTGGCATACTTTATTGAAATTAGACAATGAAAGAACGGTGAAATCAGTGACACTGCAAAGTAACTCCTTTTTATATAATGAGCGTAACAAAAACAGAATTCTTTTAATGATACGTACTATAACGTACGCACGTACTAATTATATTCATGATTGAAACTGTATCATGTGAAATAATTATGACTAATCATTACACATTCCTGCTTTCTGATTTTGTGATACCCATATTTTTAATCAATCAGTTTTTTTCCTAAAAAAAAAGTTCATAGCCTCAAAAAAAAAATACGCCGAAAAATTCTTTCACTCAAAAAAAATTTGATAATAATTTCTAAAACCATTGTATTATAAAAAATGTTGCTACCAATTATAGATATTTCAAACCAACCATTATCCATAGATTTTATTAAGTCTCTTGATTTGGTTGGAGAAATTATTCTTCGTATTCCTAATTTAAATGATACAACTTTATTAACACAATTTCTTGAAAAATATCAATTAGATAAATATTGGTTATTTCCAATTAAAGAAATAGTACCTGATAATATTGAAAATATAATTCAATTTTTAGATCAAGGAGCACAAAAAATAGTTATTTCAGGTTCAAATTTTTTAAAAAATGATAATATTTCTACTTTACCAGCTGATAGATTAGCTATTAGTATAAATTCTCATGATTTATGTGATGAAGAATTAATTAAAAAATTATCAGGATTAGCTTCAGATTATTTGATTACAGATGTTGATTTAGAATCATTATCTGGAAAATTTTTTCAAGATTTAAATAATTTTATACAAAATGTACAAAAGAGTATTACTACTTTTAGTATGGTAGCAAAAGTCGGTATTATTTTACAACATGAAAATCATGATATAAAATATTCTTTGGATTTGGTAAAAAATTTATCGACAATTTCTGCTGATTTAGTGGTTCCTATCAAATATCTTACATTGGATTCAGAAAATAACAGTCAGTTAAACGTAGCAGACGCTTTAACATGTACACTAACATCAGATCGTCCTGATGGATTGTTCATAACCGTTGTGGTAGATGAGAGAGGTGTGGCATTAGGTGTGGTGTATTCATCTACCGAGAGTGTGAAAGAAGCGCTCAAAACTAGGACAGGAGTATATCAAAGTAGAAAACGTGGTTTATGGCACAAAGGTGCTACATCGGGATCCGTTCAAGAGCTAAAAAAAATTGAGGCAGATTGTGATGGTGACTCATTGAAATTCACTGTTAAGCAGTTTGGAAGTGGTATGTTAATTTCATTTTCATATAAAAATCTTAATATTTCACTCTAGTTATTTATTTAGAGTTTGTTTAGAGTTTGTTTAGAGTTTGTTTAGAGTGTATTTTGAAATAATTTTTTTTAGGATTTTGTCATTTGAATACTCGTACATGCTTTGGTGGAAGTAAAGGCCTTATAGCACTTGAAGAAACCCTTCAAAATCGAAAGATATCAGCTCCATCCGGATCATACACGCAACGATTATTCCAAAACCCAGACTTACTTCGTTCAAAAATTATGGAAGAGGCAGATGAATTATGTTCCGCTACTACTAAAGAAGATATCGCTTGGGAAACTGCAGATTTATTCTATTTTGCTCTTGTTAAATGTGTTGCAAATGATATTTCACTAATTGATGTGGAAGCACATTTGGATAAACGTGCAAAGAAAGTAACTCGACGACCTGGTAATGCAAAATCTCAATGGGATATTTCCGCAAAGAAAACAACGGAAATTGACGGCGATGCAAAAGATAACCAAATTCCTGTCAATATACCATGTAAATCAGATATAATTAAAATGCAAAAATTCAAATTATCAGAAATTGATTCGAAAAAAAGGGCATCACTTCTCAAACGACCTATCATCAATTCCGATGACATTATGGCACGAGTACGTCCAATTATTAATGATGTACGTAATAAAGGTGATGCTGCCATTATTGAATATACAGCAAAGTTTGATAAAGTTCAACTTAATACACCTGTAATTTCTGCTCCTTTTCCACCAGAAGCGATGGCGTTAGATGACGTCACGCGTCGTGCGATTGATCAAGCTTATGATAATATTTATAAATTTCACGATGCGCAATATGATCGTTCAACATTAGTTGTTGAAACAATGCCTGGTGTAGTTTGTTCAAGATTTAGTCGTCCTATTGAACGTGTTGGACTTTATGTTCCAGGTGGTACAGCTATTCTACCATCAACAACCCTTATGTTAGGAATCCCAGCTAAAGTAGCAGGATGTAAAGAAATAATTATTGCAAGTCCACCAAGAAAGGATGGAACCGTTGTACCTGAAGTGCTATATGTAGCACATAAAGTTGGAGCTTCTAAAGTTTTGTTGGCAGGTGGTGCTCAAGCAATCGCAGCACTTGCATATGGAACCGAAACAGTACCAAAAGTAGACAAAATATGTGGTCCTGGAAATCAATATGTTACCGCCGCAAAAATGTTGGCACAAGTAAATAAAAATTTTATTAACACATTAAATTAAAATTGTTTATTTAATATAAATATAATTCATTACTTACTTACATTATTAACTACATTAACTACATTATTACCTATTTTAAGAATGATAGTTCTGCAATGATTTCAATTGATATGCCCGCAGGACCTTCGGAACTTTTAGTTATCGCGGATAACTCAAGTATTCCTACGTATGTGGCATCTGATCTTTTGTCACAAGCCGAACATGGAACTGATTCACAAGTAGTATTGATCGGAGTTTCTCTAACACCTGAACATCTTGCAGACATTGAACGTGAAATTCATGAACAAGCAAGTCGCCTTCCAAGAGTAGATATTGTTCGTGAATCAATTCCAAAAAGTTTTATCTTGCAAGTAAATAATATGAATGAAGCAATGAAATTTTCCAATGATTATTCACCTGAACACTTAATCTTACATATTGATGAAGCTGAAAAATGGGTAGATGCCATTGAAAATGCTGGTAGTGTTTTTATTGGAGCTTATTCACCAGAAAGGTATATTATTTATTTATAGCATAATATTACGTGAATTTTTATCATTTTACGTGGTATAAAATATAAATTTTTTTCATCTTTTATTACCATTTTTAGTTGTGGTGATTATGCTTCTGGTACCAATCATACTCTTCCTACATATGGTTACGCTCGAATGTATTCTGGCGTTAATACACTTACATTC